GACTATAGATCATTTGCTGTCATTGCAATGTAGCATTTATTTTTTAATCTCCGCTCGTTTATGATCAAAGTGCATTCTTGGATAGTTAAAAAATCAATTTAATCACTGTATAGAGAAAGGTAGCTATATATTTATAAACAGTTAAATTTCAAAAAAAAAAATCCCAAATTTAGTAAGAACCACATAGTTGTCAAAATCATGTTGCTATGGTGATGTCAAAATATCTTGTTCAACAGCAGTTATGGCATTTTCTTCATAGATAAATGTTTGCAGGGACCTATTATAGCAAGTTAGGTCGGTTTTATCTTGAAGAGAAAAGAGCTTGTTTACAGAAATACTGGCGTACTTTGTTGATTTGTCCGTCCTCCAGATATAAAACCTGACACATGTTAATAATGTCTTAGACTTAGAAAGAGAATAGAGCTAATTGCAACAAACTCGTATTCAACAGCTGTCGAAGAAGAAGTTGCTATAGGAATGACGTGAAGACCTAACTCGTAAATCGAAATCGCTAAAGAATACCAATAACATTGAATGCAAAGATGAACAACTCCACGACAGAGCAGCCATCATCAATGGTGGATGGTCCCTTGTGTGTGTCGATGATTGTCATCAATACTTTCAGTGGTCTCTTGGCGACTGTTTTGAACCTCTTGGTTATCATGACTTTTGTCAAGACGCCATCTTTGCGAACTCCTTCGAACATTCTTATTCTTAGTTTGGCCATCACTGACTTTTGTGTTGGTGCTTTGGTGCAGCCTGTTTACTGTGCATACCTTTTTGCTGATATGACTAACAACACGATTGTATATCAAAGTATTTCTGAAGTATTGGATCCAGCTTTCGTCATATTGATTTGGGCATCATCTTTGACAATAACTGCCATTACTGTCGACCGATTCCTTGCTCTCCACTCACATCTAAGATACCAAGTACTTGTTTCAAGGAAGCGCATATCAATGGTGGTAATAATGATTTGGACATTTAGTGTGCTCTGGGCATGCCTGCTTCTTTTCTTGAGAAAAGTGACTGTCGTAATTGTGCATATTGATACTTTTTTATCTCTTTCACTTCTGTTGTTCAACATTGTTCTGATGCTGAAAATATCTTGCGTTATTCGTCGACATGCAGCACAGATTCAAGTTCAACAGCAGGCAGTGAACGCACAGCCTGATGCAGCAGTAAATATCAAGAGATCTGTGAATATTATGTATTACGTACTTGGAATATTTTTCATATGTTATTCCCCGTCAATTTGTATTTTGATTATGAAAGCCTTCATGTCTAAATTGGTCCTAGGTTTGATTGTATTGATAATGGTTAATACTATTCTTTTGATAAACAGCAGTATCAATCCTATCATATATTTCTGGAGAATACATGACATGCGAAATGCTGCTCTTCCATTCTTTCGATCTTTTCGAAGAAATAACAACAACAACACTAACAACAACAACAACAACAACAACAACAACGGCAACAATAATAGAAATAGCAATAACAGTGTCAATAGCAATAACAATGTCAATAGCAATAACAATGATAGTAATAACAGCTGCAGCGTATAAACCCATGAAACAAAGTCTAATCGTCAATTTGTAATAGTCAAAATAAAAACAATGGACAAAAAGTGATTTTCATCAGAATTTAAAATAATTGTTTTAGTGTTCTGGCAAGTAGACTTCTACCCTGGTTCCTGAGTCTTGTCTTTTATTCATTTGCTTACTATGTTGTCTAGTGTGATGTAGGCTACTAAAACTCGTTGTGTTCTTTTCCAAATAAAAAAAAAACAAAACCTGCATTCAGTGGAAGCTTTTTACTAATTAATAGTTTCTAATTTCTTTAAGTTGTACTCTAATCTCCTGTTATACTTTTTCCTAAGGACTTTTAAATAATTCTAAATTTAAATTTTCTTAGATCGAATAGATGGTTGTAGGTTGGTCTATTCATAATGATTTRAACGTTACTTCAAAATAAAATTTTATTTACTTACGAACTCTCGGCTCACCGAGCCATTATCAAGACTRATGAWAAAACGTTACAGTTTAAGTTACAAAACAACATAAAAACAATGAGAGCGCGCYCCGAGAAGATCTTATGTAATGAGCGCACGCGGTAACTAATTACGTGGGCTTCCTGTGGAAGACCACGTCTAATGCAACTGGATTTTTCTTCTTCGTGGTCGTGGTCGTCGTGAATGTTACGCTTCAAATTGGTAGCGCCTGCGTTGCAGATGGTCTGCAGTCTCAGTTTTAATGGAGATGTCAAATTAAATTCATGACATGTAKTGTTTCGTACGTCAGTCGGCCTCGTGGCGTTATCGCGATATCTACAATTTTAGCTTCACTTTATAGCTAGTGTGACCTGCTGTGGTTTGTGCCTAAGAAAAGCAATATGATCAAGAAAATGAAGGAAATCAACCTTAGAACGCTRATTTTATCTTCTCACACGCCGTTCGTGGTGGGCCCACWCTAAGAAACATAACTTATATTAATTAATTTAATTCTGTCTTGACTTATTGACTTATTGCAAASAAAGACTGTATCGTGAAAATGAAATACTTATAGCTCAATGGCGGCAGCTGATCCATTATTGCAGCTACAGGAAGCCCACGTAAGCGATCCATGATCGTCTAGTTTTTAATTACGCACAGATARCTTTGCGGGATCATATCCTACGCGACTATCGGCTTTCTTTACATTAGATAGATGTTTCCTTCCAGTCAATCGGGTRTCCTGTTTTGCTTGCATGTTCAGCTAAAGGCGGTAGGTCTTGATAATGGTTCGGTGAGCCAAAAGCTCGACTAATAAATKTTAGGTTGAAGAAACGTTTAAATCAATATTATTATTTTTTATTACTTTTAGGACGTTCAACGCCATCCAAAACCAAAAAATCGCCAGTACGAGTTCCTTCCACTCGGCAGAAAGGCAAGATTGCATTCGTGAATGATGATGATGGTGCTGAAAATGGTAGTAGTGGTGGTGAAAGTGATAAAGGTGGTAAGTGTTTGTAGAGTTCTAGTCTAGTGTTCAGTGGGTTATTGTTGGTAGATAATACTAATTGTTGGTTCAATTATACATCAGAATTGATAAGGTCGTTAAGACGAAACTAGTTTTCTCAATAAACTGCGGGTTTTTTTGTGTGCGTAAAGGACTGAGTATCTTAGTTTAAAACTAGATCCATTACTTCAAGATGAAATTTTCTAAGTCCTTTATTGTCAGAGCTATCAGTATTTCTAAATAATTATACATCGRATACAATATACCGTTATAGATTGACATGTATTGCACAACCAAACGTTACCATATTGCTTAAACTCAKGCATTCCACAAGTAACGCTTCCTAAGACCCATGATGTCCATGTAATGAAGGAAGATTGATCAAAGTTGTTTAGTGAAACAAATTAGTAATGTATTGTCACGATATATACCTAGCAGATTAAGGGAGAGTTTTCTAAAGGCATCTGTTTCAATGAATCTATTAATTTACGATGTTTGTCACGACAGTTAGGATCGCTGATCTCAGCGATAACTACCTTGAAACAACCGTTAAGACAAGGAGCTGTACAAAATATTTACCGTAACATCCACTTTTTTTATTGCTTTTAATTCCCTCCAGGAACTCGTTTTTTTATATTGGTACTGGTCAAATGGCAACGGCTGGGAAACAGCTGGATTATGCCGGTATTGCTCGGCGGCCATGTTGGAGGAATGAACAATAGATACTAATGAAAAATCCTTTGTTGAAGTTCTTTCAAGATGGCCGCTGTGACGTAACTTGAAAACGAATAATTTTATTTTTCCGACTATCGGTCTCCTTGTGTCTTGTTATAGAAGGAAGTATTCTTATTTATAAAATTACTTAAATATTACGCGCGTTATGATTGGCCGAGTACTGTGTTTTGATTTAAAAATGCGTGTACGATGAAATGCGAACATCGAATTTGAGTTGTTTTTGTACACATACCTCTTTATGGAGATCCAAATAAGTACTTGTGAGGATTTTTGTATCGATATAGCTTTGAAAAGCAGAGGAATCAAGCTTTGAAAGTCGGGTTTTTCCTGTCCACCATTAACCTTAG